TGGAGAGGGAACCTACTTTGCTGTAGATGCCAGCTACTCCAGCCATCCAACCTACTCCAGGCCAGCTGCTGATGGTTCTCAGCTAATGTTTGTGGTCAGAGTCCTGGCAGGGGTCTACACTCTGGGCCAAAGCGGTATGAGGGTGCCTCCACCTCGTGACGAACAGCACCCCCACTTACGTTATGATAGTGTGGTGGATAGAATGGACAGACCCAACATGTTTGTTGTGTTCCACGATAACCAGGCTTACCCAGACTACCTCATCACCTTCAAGTGATGGCACTCAATAGTTTTGATGCACGAGAGAAAACAAGAGCAAAAGCAGGGAATGTTAAAAGAAGCTTTTTAGAATTGAAGAAATATCCAAAATAAACAGCTCATACTTAACAGAATCAATGATAAAGAAATATGGAGTTGGGTAAATATTTTAGTGTTGTAGATATAGAGTAAAAACAAGTAAATTCATAAATATAAACATATAATTGTTGCAAAGGGTTAAAAAATAACTTTCTATGGACAGGTAATTCTTAATCGGATGAAGGTGAAAAGTACCAGTTTGATTTTTAACTTCATAGTTTACTTTTACTTAAGCATGATCCATCAAGCAAACCAGAGAATCTTCTCAAAATGTTTATATTTTCGGCACTTTAAGGGTTATATGGTAAGATCTTATATTTAGCTGTTTATTCCCTGACATCTAACATTGCCTGGTATATTTGAAGGGTGTTATGGTTTGAAATAATCTTAGAATTTTTATCTTTCAGCTAAAGAGATGTTTTTATGTTGAACTCCTGGAATTTCTGATCTCACTAAAAGTATTTTCGCAGAAATAAAACCATATTTCTCTCAACAGAACGAGTTGGTTATTTTTGAATTAATTTGTTACTACAAAGTCCTCTGCAACTTCACCTAACAGAATAAAATATACGTTGGGTAAAACAACAAAACATAATAGCTTAACATCTAATTTTAATAATCACCATAGGACTAATAATGAATTTTCTTTCTAATTCTGAATGTGAAACTGCTTTAGTGAAGTGGAGTAGTACGTTATACAGTTGGATCTCTAAAGATTTCAATATTGTAATGTTTGTTTCTTTTACTAAAGGAACTGTATATAGATCCATTAAGATTAATACAATGAACTTTTTAAACCTTTATGCATTGAGTATTATTTCATATGGATAAGAAAACACTAAATTAATGTCTCAGAAAAATCAAAAGTAACTGATTTAAAAAAAAAGGAATTTTTATATAGAAATGCCAGGCATCTGAAGTATATGGGCCTCTTTTACATGAATTATGGCATGGCTGTGGCATTGCATGGAGGCGATCAGCCTGTGATCATGCTGAGGTGTAATGGAAGCCTAGGTTGTTAGAAATTACAGTAATTTCTTGGATTATCTACATTGTAGGGTTTAGTGTCTCACATTTCTATTGTCAATACTCCACAGCTTCTCTGTGGGATTCAGGTAGGTCCAGTTTGCTTGTCAATCAAGCTCACTAAACCATGGTCATTAAACCAGCTTTTATTACCGCAGTGTTGGCCTGCACTGAAATGAAATGAAATGAAATTAACATTGCAGTGATTAGTGATAGAGGGAAGCACAAAGTGCTCTGAAAATTTCCTGGTAGATAGCTACATTATCAACACAAGCAGCCAGAGTTGGGTGATGTGGAACCAGGAAATTACTGTATCTCTATGTATTATTATATGTATTATTTCTGCCCAGACATTGAACCTGGTGAATCCAGTCTGCAGAGTGAATTCAATTGTGTAGATGGGACTCACCCTCACCTCACCCTTAATATACAAATGAAATGGAAATTATGTTAATTACTTTCATAAAAAAAAAAAAAAAGTTGACCCTTGAGCAATAATCAAATCTTTGGTTAAGAAGGCTTAACACAAAGAATGTGACATTTGTAGCTTTTGTATATCATTTGTTCGTACGTAAAAAACTTTCAGTTTCAATTGCTTCAAAAAAAAAAATTCTGTAAACAAACACTCTTTTCAGGAATGGCTCTTTTTAGTAATAGTTGCATAGACTTTTTGTGCAGGGTGTTGAGGAGTGCCGGTCTACGTTCATACCCTCACTTAAGGTCATAAAATGCATCATCACCTAAAGAACGAGATCCTTGCAACAAGCGGCTGAACTGAGCTTTCTCTTCCGGGTGGCTTGGCTCTCCCTCAGAGATAGGATGAGGAGCTCAGTCACCCGGGAAAGGCTGACAGTAAAGCCACTTCACATCCACATCAAGAGGAGTCAGCTGAGGTTTCTCCATCATCTTTGTCGGATTCCTCCTGGACATCTCCCTCAGGAGGCTCCCAAGGCACGTCCCCAGGGAGGGAGGCCCAAGGGATGACCTAGCACCCGGGCTTCCCCTAGTAGAGCTGGAGGAGGTATCTGTGGAAAGGGAAGTCTGAGAGTCTCTACTGACACTGCTACCCCATGACCTGGTCCTGGAATACGCGGGAGACAACAAGTACGAGTGCAATTTATAATTTTGGTTTAATATTTGAGTTTTTGCAAGAAATTTTTTTCTATATTATATATTCAGCGTGTGTGAGCTGTGATTGACACTCCATCAGACGCTCCTCTGGCTGTGATTGGTTGTTTTGACTCATCCCGAATTATTCTTTCCAGATTGAAATACAGGCAGTAGGCGGTACCAATTGAAGCAGTTTTTTTCACAGGTTACATATCACATGTACTGCTGTCTGGGCATAGGGACAGTTTTAGCCAATACGACAAAAAAGTGATTTTTAAAAACTTACAGACTTCAGCTTTAAGACACCATTTTTTGTTCAGACCCGTTTTTTTAGCTACCTTTTTCAATAACAACTGGGCATTAAGTCCATAAGATCAGTCTTTCTGCTACTGGTGGCAACTTCATGTTTTCATTATTATAGATGATAGTCTCATGATTCTGAATTTTGTCTCTCCCCTAGACGCACTGTTCTGGCCCTGTTCTTTTCATCTTCTAGACCTGAACAGTATCTTAGAGCTCATCTGTTTAGCTATGTTTACCTCATAGATGAAGCTACTAAATGAGCTACTTAAACTCTGGGTTAGCTTGTTATATTTCTTTCACATAGAATTTAATTTGAGCTTCTTTTTATTGTATGATCTGTCATCTGAATCCCATTTGATTTAGGCAGAAGGCAGCACCCTCCCTGATTCTTCTGAAGGTTTCTTCCAGTTTAAGTTTTCACTTAAAGGGGAACAGCGTTTTTTTTTTTTTTTTTTTTACATTGGACCCTTGATTTTACGTTATTACACCATGTTCTACTCACTCATATGAGTTTTGTGTCATTTGGAGCGGATGACATCATACACACTCCGCTTTGATTTAAAAAAATATAAATATAAAAAATACAACCACGGATGTCTGGGGGACAGAGATTTGCCTACATGTTATGAATGCTGGCGTACCATAAAGAATACATTATGAACAGTTTAGTTTGTTCCTTCAAGTCATTTGGATATAACCTAATGGAAAATCTTCAGAACAGCTCCAAATGACACAAAACTCCTATGGGTGAGTAGAAAAGGATGTAATAACATAAAATCAAGGGGCCCATGCAAAAAACTGGCGTTTCCCTTTAAATAAAAAAAAAAGTTTTATTTTCAATTATTTATTTCAAACATGATTCTTTAATGGTATTATTTATTTTTTGTGGAATAGGTCAATTTATTGGAAGCATATGGTGAATTGGTCTATGAGCAGAATTGCTTTCAAAAGAATCAAGCCTTTACTGATCATATTTCTGTTTTTCCACAGTAGTGATAGCAGGATTATATGAAAGGAAAACTACTTTCAACTATTTTGCTGATTAAAAAAAAAATAACTTGATCTGTTTTTTTTAGATACTTTCTATTCACATTTATTTATAGAGCTTGATATCCAAAATCTAATTTACAAGAGAGACCTGTTTTGTTTAAAACAAACAAAAATAATCTAAATTACTCCATCATGATGTTGGTGTGAAATTAATTAATGCTTTTAAAGCTCTTTATAATACCCCACATTCATATAAACAGGTAAACACATTTTGTTGCTTCCCCTTTTAGAATAAAAACAGGGTGGGGTATTTTCACCAATATTAGTTGCTATTTATATTAATAACCTAACTGAAGGAAATATTTACGCTAAGCTAGATTTAATTTATTATCTATTGTTTAATGTTTTGTGAATTACTGATGATATTGTGCTGGTTGTATAAACTACGATGAAGTTGCAGAAAATGGTAGACATTTTAGGTTGATGGTGCAGTAAATAGATTTAGACTCAACAGGGCAAGCTTTTGACTCTATGTTCAATATAATGAAATTATGTTTTGACCTTCATTTTTATAACCTTTTCCACCTTGACTCTATGGTATGTCCAGTTTAATTTTTTGCTGCAGCAGCATGGGGGTTTGAGGCCATACCCAGAAATGCCAATGCCAATGCCTGCCAATCTCCTTAGATCTATTATGTAGCTGTAATCAGTCTTGCTGTAGAAGTTGATATGAGTTGGGTGCCATTTGACATAAAATAAAGCTGTTAAACGGTAAGGTTATGAAATTAAGTTGTTCTAATGCCAGATGAAATCCTTACAAGGAAGATTTCTTTAAGAACGAGCTGACAGGTTCTCCTGGTCTAAAGATATTGTATTTTCTCTTTGTGATTTAAGTTTAATTTACAGCCATATGTTGTTATCTGTTAATAGTTAAAGTAAGGATGTTTAAAAGGTATAAAGATCATTGGGTGCAGAGAATTTATAACTAACAAAACTTAAAACAAATATATAAATGGAGGATGTGTTTCAAACTGATTTGTTTATAAATTTATGTATGAAATAAACAAGGCAGTTACTGGTAACTGCTACCCTACCCTCTGGTAGGTAAAGTGGGTATATTCAAATTATTCCTGAAGAATTTATTTGTCTATTGTGTGATGTTTTGAAAGATATTTTGCTGAAGGTGAATAAGGTAAAATAAAACACATGAAATATCGCTGTTGTTAATATTTTATTGTTTTGAATTGTTTATTAATTCCCAGGCAAAGAAAGGATGATGATGAATATGATGATTGATATAAATATATCTTCTTCAGTACAGAGTTATATAACATATGGAAATGATTTAATGTAGGTTTTACAGAAAATTAAAAAAACGAATTGCAAAAACCAAATAAAGGTACAGAAAAGCTTTCGGTATACTTTTTTTGTGTGTACATATTTTTAAGGCAACCGCTTTTATACCTCTTGTCTTTGCCACAGCAAGCACATAGATATAAACTGGGTGCTGTTATATTGCATAGAGACTATATGTCTGCTTAAATATTTCTAAATACATATAGCAGTATACTGGACTTGCTGCATATTTAAAGAGAATTGTGCCTGAAATTATTTTTCTGTTAACTTGTCCAATAAGAAAGTGTTCAAAATTTAGCACAATTCCCTTTTTATTTTTAAAGTCACTCTGCCCCCTAGTGGTCAAATAACAAGAACACAAAACAGGGACCTGAAGTCAAGATCTATACTGCCTAAAAACATAAAATGTATTTGTGAAATTATGTGAATGTTAAAGGTAAAAATCAAATTTATTGTCAATTCTTATGAATGTAAATTCCTCTAATTAGGCTGAAGCACTTTACTGTACAAAGGCTTTCAGTCATCACTAATTTCTTCATCTTGAGATTGTAATCCTGCAATTGTTAATGTATCAACAGTTCTCTATACTTTCTGAAGTTTTAATTAAGGCCTCGGTTTCTTTTTTCACTTACTTAGCTAAGAATAAAGGAAATAAAGGTTGCTTTAAAGCTTCTGCACAGCACTGTATGCTTTAACAGAGTATCAGTAATGGCTTGGTTATCTTCATGGATTGATGGTGATGGACGCCTGACCAGACACCTGTCTGAGAGCAGAACAGTCCAGAGTAGCGATCACTCTAGTTTTCCCAGTCCTCTGTGGAGAAAACATCTCAGTCCAGGTCAGAGAGGAGCCTCCGGGGATCAGACTGTGAACGGCAAGGTTTTTCATTACAAACCAGACATACCAGACTCCTGTCAGAAGATGTATATTTTGGAAATATTGAATAAAACTCAGAAGCATAAATCAGAAGCTCATTACAGTATTTAATTTTAGTGTGTTAGCTCAAAAGTTTTTTATTAGAAATATAAAAATAATACAAATTTAACAATGTATACATTTACTATGTATAAATTTAAATTTAATGTCATCTATTTTGATTGAGGATTTGTCTAAACTTTAAAGTCCAGCTTTCTTCATTCTTGCACAGCCTATAGGGTAATGTAAACGAATTATGATTCTGAGATAAACTCAAGGGAATGTTGGATAAAATGTTATCATATGTTTTGATATAGATAAAATGCAAGGCTGTAGTTGCAGATTACAATAAAAACATTTTATTTAAAGGAAAATTCCTATGTATTTTCTGCCTGCTATGCTCACCTGTAATATCTGGATTTGGGCTCCATGACCCCAGCTCCTTCCATGCGCAGGTACACTTCCTCCAGGTTGAATGAGAAGGGGTTGGTAAACTGCACAGTAGCCATCATCTCTTCATTCACTTTGGCACTGCCGATCAGCTGCAGTTTATACAACATACAGAAGGATCACAGACTCCAAAGATGTCCTCATAGTTTCAGAATTCAAACAGATACAAATTGTACCAATTATCTTACCTCGACAGTGAGTTTGGGGTTGTGCAGAGCGATGATTTTCATGGCAGTCACGATACGGCCAGTTTCTTTGATTTTCCCAGTGACAATGAAGTGGAGGTTGGCTTGTTCCACCAAATGATCCATGTAGTCCTTCGACTGAACCGTAATTAGCTCCCTCACACCTGCAACAGTTACACTTTGATTAAGAAGTCCTTATACACCTGTAATCAGTGATGTAGACACACTGCATGGTGCTGCCATTACCCTGCATCGCAGTTGGTAGAGTTACATTATTTTTCTCTCACCCTGAGTCTCTAAATCTCTTTATAGCCATTGTTTACACACAGTTAAACATTTGTCTGTTCTTACTGTAAAAAGTTTTTTTGACCATGTGAAAACTTTCTCGGTCATCACCCTCTCAGTCCACATTGATCCAATAGTTCTTTCTATGTGGAATAAAAAAACATATTTCAACATATGGGAGACATGAGTATCAGCAGATCAGATGTTGTTTGAGTGTTTTAGTACCTAATCATTTTACGATTATATAACAATAAATGGTAAACCCTTCTGAAAATTCTAAGACTGCTCTTAAGAACCATGGCCATTCAAAAATTTTATTTCTGCGATGATTGAATATATGTATATAATATATATATTTATATTTTTCCTCCCTTATCCTACATTTTGTCTTATATTTCAGCTGCTCCATAGTTTCTCCAAGTTTCACTTGCATTCAGTGTTATTCTCCATGCATCCCTCAGTATAACATAAATTACTGTCATTGTTCAATGCTTAATTGTCTTAACCTGTCCATACTATCCTGTTTCTCTGTTTGCAACATATGTAATTTTTTTCTATGTTATCATTAAACTGCCATAATGCTCATCCCCAGGATTTGGTCTGCAGGTTTTTGTGCAAATTAGAAGTTGCAATTATGTGATATGTCTTTGTCTCTTTTCTTGCTTACAGTATCCCCCTCCCCTCTTAAAATATTCTTAAAAACCATGGCCTTTCAAAAATTTAACTTCTGTGATTTAAAATAAATACATATATTTATTCCTCCCTTATCCTCCTCTTTGTCTTATGTTTCAGCTGCTCCACAGTTTCTCAAAATTTCACTTGCATTCAGTGTTATTCTCCATGTATCCCTTAGTATAAGATTAATTGCTGTCATTGTTCAATGCAATTCTCTTAACCTGTCCATACAGTATAACCTGTTTCTCCTTGTGCAACATATGGAATTTTTTCTCTGTGTTATTATCATTAAACTGCAATGATGCTCATCCCCATGTGCTCATATGCTTTTATGCAAATTAGAAGTTGTAATTATGTGATATGTCTTTGTCTCTTTCCTTACTCTTGAGCCCGCTCCCCTCTCCTCTCATGTCAGCCTCTACTCACTCTTTTTGGCCTGAATGGTCACAGTGGGGGTCTTGAACAAGAACTCGTTGCTGGAGACTCCGGTGTAATAAACCACATTCCCACTGACGTAGGCTTCCACCGTGCGCTTCTGGTCACTGCAGTTTGAAAACTCCACACTGAGCTCCAGATCATCCCCAACACTGATCTCCAGGTTAGGCAGGACCACTTCCACATCAGCCTCTGGGGGGCTGGATTTCTCCCGCCTACAGCCAAACTCCTCTGCTTTTGCCAGGACAGTCCGCTCCTCTGGGCTCCCTATATTAGATTGAAGTGTTTAACACAGGTATAATCTTTAATAAAGGGAAGGGATTCATTTATATTATATGTGAAAAGGCTTTGGAAAAGGTAGTTGTGGATAAAAATGGTCCAAATTATCTTTTCGAAATGATGTCAGAATTATTCTTATATATCAAATATTACAATGAGTCCAACAGATGACATGCAGTATTTATATAAAAACTGCACAAATGGTCAATTGCAGCCAATTTTATCGATTTTATGCACTACCTTAATGTTTTAGAAAAAATATTCTGACTTCATACTTGCACTCTTGCATTTTACCTACAATAATTTGTTAATTTAATCTTCTCTTTGTGTTGCCTTGTGTGAGGTTTGTTTTGTTTGTCAGCAGCAGAAACTGTTTTCTGCTGCTGCTCCAATTAACACTGGCACCTGAGTTCGATGTGATCACTGACCTTCAGGAAACTTGTATTGATCAATGAGGTCTCTGCAACCCTCGCTTCCCGCAGCTTTGGTTAAAATCATGCGACCCACGTGAGTTTGGTTCAGTTTAACTGGCTCCATGGTGCCGTCATTCTTCCGTGCATAAAACACAACGTCACTGTTGACCTGCATGGAAGAAAGACAGGTAAAAAACAATTGGCTAAATCTATGACTGTTGGGCACAAAACATAATATGGATGTTGAATATATTTACTTTTATAGTAATTTTCCAGAAAGTTTAAATACTTCTTAAAGGCTCTAGAGGTAAATAAACTAACCTCAGCGAACACAAAGGGTGCATCAAATGGAAAGCAAATTTGTCCATGTTTGATGGCCAGGACTGATGCAGGTCCACATCGGTACATCCCTTCACAAATAAAGCAGCAAGGAAAACAAGATTCAGTACATTTGCATTCATATACATTCAAGGTCCAAACATACTTTGTTAATTTGCAAAGTTCTGTGTCTTCATCGCCTATTGGTACCACTAGTGCAGATCTTCAAAAGACCTTAAAATTTCACATTTCACAATGATGATGGTCAGGGAGGTAAAAAATAGTCAAAAGTTTAAGGATGAGTTTCCTACATTTTACTAGGATTTATCAAAACTTTTTTCTAATGTTGTCAAACTAGATTTAGCCCCATTTTTAGGAAACCTTTCATTTTGAGAGCCTCATGTTTTTCGTATGTTTCATGATCAAAGAAATGTCCTGACAAGGAAGAGATGATGAAGTCGTCCCACTAATATTAAGCTCTCAAACAACCTCAGTAGTTTATTACAAATCCATACCTTAAATTAACCATAATTAAATACTTTTATAGGGCAATGATGAAGAGGTGAAATGTAGTAGTATCATACCAAGGCAAAAAAAAAAAACTTCTTTCAGAGTTCATGTAATCTGACATGTATCCGGCCTAGCTAATTATGATGTAGGCAACATTAGGTCGAGGATGTTTAAATCCAAGCCTGTCTGGAGCCTCAATCTCTGAGCATGCTGTGTAAGCTCAGAGAAACCTGTGATGTTGACATATCAACTGCTGTGATGTGAAAAGACAGTGTTATCTACATGATGGGGTTCTTGGTTGCTTGTTTGGCCTCTGACAGGCGTATGCTTTATGAAACCAGCATACTAGTTCTAATTCAAAACAAGTAAGGAAGGTGTGTGAAATTCCTTCTGTGAAAGGCCACACCTTACCTCCAGCCCAAGGTTGAGGCGTTAATTCAACCCCAAGGCAGTTTATAATCAATTTTTACATGTTCTATATTCGCCAGACTAGACTGAGTTGAAATAACATGTTTAAAATTGCTAAACAGTTTACACTGTGAGAGAGTTGGAACAAAACTCTTAATGAATAATCAAAAAGAGAAAAGAAGAAAAAAAATGAAATTCAAAACTTATTAGGGCTGAATTTATCTAAACATAGTTCAAAGTGTCAAAAATTAACACCACACACTAATGTTCACACTTATCTGGATTTATAGACAAATACAGCTGAGTATCGTCAGCATAACAGTGGTAATAAATCCCTGAATCTCTGATACATTATAGCAACAGCTGATCCAGGGTATGCTGACAGGATTCAATGCAGTTTATTTCAGTTTATTTATATAGCGCCAATTCACAACATCATCGCAAGGCACATTACAATTCAACCAGATCATACAGTCTAATTGATTAAACGTTTTCTATCGAAGGAAAACCAGTTGGCTATCTGCTGAGGCTGACTGGGGTTCAAGGAGACAGAAGCAGAGATACAAAAAGCGGCTGTAAAAGGCAGCCCCGTCCAGGAAACACACAGCCAGGCAGACAAGCTCCAAGCCAGCTCCCATGTCAGAGGATAAAGAGAGCACAGCCAGCCAGTCACAGTCAGAGAAACAGGACTACACTGAAAAACAGTCCAATTTCCAACATCTATAAACAAAGGTGTTGATGGCAGCACAGCTGATATTTCTTTCCAGGATCGAGTCACAGCCAAACAGAGGCTAGGCTACTGTAAACAAGCCCTCAGAAAACCATCAACACTTCACTCATGAAATTCAGGCATCTTGCCAAAAACACAATGACTGATCATAACCGTGTAAAAGCATTATATCCCACAACTCCAAATTCCACTGATGTTTTTATTAGCACATGTGTTTTTTGTAGATAAGACATCACAGATAGGTTGGCATTGGAGAAACTCTTCTGATAATTTATTTTTTAAAGAAAACTCAACAGAGAGAGCATGGGACAACATTCAACACTCAGGACAGTATAAAGAGAATATACAAAGATAAATGACATTGATCACCATCTCTGTAAGCTCCAACCAGATTAGAGCAACATTTCCTGTTGCATCATTTGCAAAATATTATCACCAGGGCTGCAAAGAGCCAGGGCACTAGGCTCAAAGCATTTATTTTAATGTTGTAAATCTGTTTAGATTTAAGCTTGGACTTTTCTAACGTGATTCTGAAAATATTCTCCTGCATCAACCAATTACTTAAATTAAAGTTGCATCTCTAGGCTAATAATTGTGCAGAAGGCTGTATGCTAGTTTCATAGGAAGACCATTTACCATCACTGGTTTCCTGTGGTGTTGCATCCACAACCTGCCAGCCTCCAAAACCTGGCAGGAGGTCTGGTCTGGACATGTAGCATTCATTCCAGCAGTGATAGTTCCTAAAAGAGAAAATATTTTTTAAATCAAAGAAAGTAAGATTTGCTCCAACAGTCTAACTTCTTACACAGGACCTTTTCTGTCAGCCTTGGTTTTCTCTACATCACTGAGGACAGTGTGAAAAATTCAGTTAATACATTAAAATACATGTTCTTAGGAACCCTAAATGCCCCAAGAAGGTTGAAATAATTGTTATAGCATCTGCAAATACAATAAAACAAATTTCTCATTAATGTGATTTCTGCATTGTAGAAAATTTATAAATTGTCCAACTTTAGTAAGATGATTATCTGTTAACTAAAGTGTCCTTTGCTCTCAATAATGCAATGGATTGACCCTGACCAGTGGATCCAGCTCATGGATCTTTGCTTCCAACATAAACTAGTTAATCAGGAAAGCAGAAGAGAATATTCAATGAAGTCCAGATATGAAAGTGAACTGAGAGCACAGTGCCGGGGTAACTGGTCACAGGTCCTTTTCTGTTTTTATGCACACTTAAATGTTTAAGATCATCAAACGCGTTTTAATATTAAAGATAACACAATAAAAAAAAGCATCTTTTAACAATGATTTCAATCACTTCAGGAAAAAATGGCACCATTTATAAGTAAACACCTTCTTTATTAATTATACTGCAAGTAACTACAATCAACAATCTAATGTATCTTGTCACACAAAGCCTGAAAACTGCCAGACCTTCAAAAACAACAAACCACTTAGATAGGATCTGTATCACAATAAAAAGCAAGATCCTAACAAGCATCACATCCTGCCTCCATCTAACGGAGTTCAAGAACAGATTAGATAAAACTTAAAGATCTATGAAGAGAGCATTTGATACCAGATTGAATCCTTGGTGCGTTTTCGATCAATGCTGCCGTTATCGTTCAAAATAATATCCATCTTCAGGTTTCCATCGTTGTCATGAGCAGAGTAATAGTTGGTGACAACCCTGGATGGGATACCCAGACAGCGCAGGACTGGAACACAGAAATGGGACCAAATTTTAACAGATATAATTCAGGGATGACGTACTTGGTGTAAATATACATATGAATTTCCTTAAAGGATTTTGTCTTTGATAAGTTTCATATATTTCGGAAAGCATTTAGCTTAGGAAGTGGTTGTTGTTGCTTAGGTATAATTTACTTTTCTCTTGAAAGTCAGTTTTCAATTTTAAATAAAAGAAAAAAGCATGTTTCATAAGAATAAAAGAATATTATTAACAAAGATAATCACCAAATTCTGCTTATCTCAGGCACCCTCTCAGATCATAATAAGGCGGCCTTTTCAAAACTGAACGTAATGTTAGTCATAAACTCAGACTTTGGTATGCAAAGTTATATATATATATGTATATATATATATATACATATATATATATATATATATATATATATATATTTTTTTTTTTTTTCAAAAAGACATTAATTGTAAACTCTTTATCCCACTATACATGGTCTGTTAATAATATTGATGAATATGCAGATGTTGATGAGTTTACACATTAATTTCAGATCATTAAACCTTTGAAAATAGGGCCAGAGCATAATGAGAGGACCTAAGCCTAAGAATCAGTACTGACAAAGGCACACTGTATTTTTGTCTTGTTGAGCTCTAGTGGAAAATAATAATTGGAACAGGACAATACTCAAACATCTAAAACAAGCTCTCACAGGAATTAAAGACGGCAGCAAAGACCCAGCACTGAGCGTAGCATACTGGCATCTTGCTGCTGGCATAGCCAAGCAGGATGTCAGTGCTGCCAGTCCAGGAAGTGGGCGCTACTCCGTAGGTGTAGTCACCGGTCCAGTTCCCCACCAGCACACCATCATCGTCACGTGCGTTCAGCTGCAGAGAAAATGTTTTTTATCATTTCAAAGACATTTTTAAAACTTAACATTTTCTTGAGACGTTTTTTTTTTTTGTTTTCCTCACCATTGCAGAGGCCTTTCTGGTCACCTTTATGGGGTCTCCTCTGTTGGTGAGTGGCATCTCAGACCTATCCATGATGTACAGACAGGCCTCCAGAACTCCATAGTTGAACTAAGAGGTGAAATAGAAAAAAAAAAATCAGAGCCTTGAAGAAATCAGAAAATATGTAAATATATTTTCCTCCTACTTGTCCATAGTTCCAGTTTCTCTCAGAAACATCGTCGTAGGAGCCATGATAGATGATCCCCATCTCATTCATCACACACTCTTGTCTCTCCGCCTCATCATCCAGAAACACAGCATCCTCTATGGGAAGAACAATAGTCCAACGTTGCACTTCAAAAACGCCTACAAAATCAAACCTAATGTATCGTATGGTAAACAAACCTGCTACCCAAGGGTTGAAAAGGATGTATAAATCTCTGCTGTTGTCCCGCTTTGTCCTACGAATGCCAAAAGGAGTCTGCACTGCAATATACATGTGATATTTGCCCACAATGCTGTTGGCCAGAGGAGTGATGGCCATGGTGACCACATTGTCATTGGTATGTGTGATGCGGCCTTCCCAGGTGCTCTGACGTTCTCTGGTGGGAAACACAGGAATGTAGGTGCCCTTGCTGTACTGAGGGCTGGAGCCTGAGAGAACAAGAAGAATCAGAGGGTTTTTAGTGCATGGGGTAGTAAACATTCACAACTATTGGCATTACTGCAAAAGATGTTTTCCTATTCATCAGGTAAATTTATCAAAACCAAATCAGAAAGGCCAGCGCTGTGTTTAGATGTCCCCTGGACTGGGTGCAGGAGGTGGGAAACAAAGGGGCACTAACTAAAATAACATCTCTGTTGGATCATGTCTCCCTCCCCATGCATGAAGCTGTTGCTAAAGTGGAGAGCTCCGTCAGTGACAAACTGCTGCACCCTAAATGCAAAAAAGGGAGCGTTTTCACAGATCCTTCCTCTAGGCAGCTGCAACACCATCACTGTTCCCAACATCCTCAATAAGTTGTTACATTCATGCTGATTCTTGCAGTTTTCTTAGTCACTTATACAACATGCTGCTATTTTTCACATATAAATTATTGTAAAAATGTTTTTAGCTGTATATTGGTTATTTATTCTTTCTAGATGCACAGTATTTATATTGTAAAAGCACTGTACAGTACAATTATTCCAATTCTTAACTCACTTATTTTGTTATTTTTATGCAGACTGAAAATCCGGCTTTTCTTCTATTACTCTATCACAGTATTTTCCATATAGTTTGTGCCTAACTTTTTACATATAGCAACCACGAGATGCCTCCATTTGCAGCCGCTTTGCAAGATTAAACTGTGTAGAGAATTTTTAAATGTCTCTTATCATCCTCCATGTGTGTCAGATAGATTTCAGTCCTTCAGTTTTGCTTACAGTTCCAGTAGTTTTAAGCTTGTATTTGTCTGACTATAGACATGGCTAAAATTAAATAGCAGCTATTTCTGTGCAGCCTTTTCCTTTATTTGCAAACACCATTACACACTTACTTAAATAGCAGGTTATCTAAGCTCGCCCTTTTTGCAGAGGGATTAGAAGGATACCTCCAGGAACTCCTGAATTATCAATCAAGTAATTTAACATAGTGGCAGAAGGTTTAGCACTGGTGACTATGCAACAATCATCTAGTGTGCAGTGTTGTTGTTTTCCCCCATTAAATAAAAGCACTTAAATTAAAACTAGTGAAGAATATTTCAGGGAATATATATTTTGAAGGTCTCTTTTTTAAGGATTCCAGGTACTATATAATCTTTCTGAATTAGAAGTTGTGGTGCCATTAATTGCTGACTACTTTAACTGAATCTCGGGGAAATCAATCCCACACTGAGACTTCTATCTGGAAATATCTTACCAATGACAAACTCGACAGCAAACTTGTCCTGGTTAGGTTTGTATGGACGGTTGAAGGTGATCTTGACCGTGAACTCTTGACCTCGGCGGACAATGAGATTGTCAGACTGGTAAAGGTTGGTGTGGTGTTCAATCTTATTGCTCTGATCACGCCCCCTCATCATGTCCACATCCCAGATGTCCAGGTATTCTGAATGGACAAGAAGGGGAAGAAACGGAAAAAAACAAAGTTTAAAAATTTTTCTTAAAGATTCTGATTAAGGAAAAGCAAGAAAACTACTTTTTGTGCAAGTTATATTCATTTAAATGCCTAATAATGAACTGCTTAGTGCAGTTTTAAATTTTTTTCTGGCTCCAAGAGCACAGGACTCTCTGAAGAGTCAACAAAATTGGAGGTGTTTAAAAAAGCAATGGTTAAGCTACTGAAAAATTATAGTCCAAAAAAAAACCTTTCAATACTTAATCTACTAATAAATATAAATTATATTTTTCTTGTGCAAACATTCCCAAACTTCAAACTAAATAAAAATTGAAGTTCTGCTAAATTAAAATCTTCTGCCCTTGAACCCTCTGCCAATATATTCACATGTAGTTATTTGCAGCAGTTGAATAAATTTCCAGTTAGTCTATTTATAAAGTTTTGTTTCATCTGGACATCTCTGCTGGCAGAGATCTGCAGCAGCAGGAAGTCTGCACTCTTCATCTAGTTTGCACGTCACTCATCCATCAATCATGTCCAAAGACTAACGGAAAAACTGTCACTTACAGGCAGAAGTCTTTATCTTCACAGAGCTTCTGAGGAAGCAGTCTATTCTTCTGCATTAACCCTTTCTCTTTCTCACATTTTAAGCCATGGAGTTTTAATATTCCTATTTATTACTGCATATGTCCTAACAGATGCTACTGTTTCAGGTCCTCACCTGCCAGAGGAGGGTATCCTCTTGGCCCTGCTGCCACAAAGTACTCTAACTCCGGCATGTCTGTTGCCTCAAGGTTTGAGCTATCGAAGGGAGCCGAGGCTCGGCCACGGATGCCAACCTTAGGAGGACGTCCAGTAGGAGGAGGTGGAGGAGCAGAAGGGGTTGGGGAAGCTCCTTGGTCAGACATTTTGATGATAGGTTGAAACACTGTAAGACTGGGAGAGGTAGTAAGAGAGAGAAGTATAAGCATAGCTTCTACCAGGCTGACAACAGATGATATGGATTTTAATGGATCAGAAGGAATCACTACAATCAAAGTTTAAAGAGCAGAATTTCATTATTTAATTGTTAGAGTATGAAGACTAGTGTTCAGATTTTAAGTTAAAGTCAGTGATGAAACAATGGCAGTTTCCAAGCTTTTGCCTTGCATGTGGTCACCATATGTGTTTGTGGTTCGGCTGGAGGCATTTGCTGTACAGTCACTCCCCTTCCTGTAAGAACTCCAAATGTGTGCTTGTTAATAAGTATTGTGTTTTCTTTTGTTTGGTTGTCAGAGAAGAGAGGATGTTGCATCAATATGCACTATTTACTCATGATAAATCATCAAATTCATGAAACATGCAAAAAAGATTGAAAAAAAAATAAAACCATTATAAGTTTAATTTAACATCTTATAAATGCTTATCCGTGAGAGAATTTGCAACACAACTCATAAAAATGTTTAACTTCCTGCAGCAGCAAGTTGTGCTATAGGGAAATTACTTCGAAATTTCTGCAGCAGCTTTAACTTCTTTTAGTAGCATTGATAATATTATTTCATTGTGAAATAAAATGATACATGATTCCAAAAGGGCTTGACAGATACATTTTTTTGCTGTGGGACATTTTTACCCTCCCCCAAAATAAAACTTACTGGCAAGACAATCATGTAATAAGCAAAAAAGTCCCTTGTTTATAGCTTAATCATATAATAACCTAACTGTTTTATTAAATCTTTATTTTTTTGTTTTGTTTGTTTTTTAGAGAATTTTAAATGAACAAACATCATTAACTTCAAGTAAGAAACCAAACTAGGCAAGGATAAAATTTAGGAAAAGTTAATATCTAAATTAGTATTAATGGCTGCTAAGAGATGGCCATCTATGTTTGCTATCTGGCAAGGCAAAGAAATAGACAGCAGAATGTGTCAACAGGAAAATTACATTTGCGCTCAGGCCTTTTTATGTGAAAGAGGCAGAAGGAAGGCCAATGATAACAGAAAGCCATAATTGGTAATGGGTTTCAACGTTAAAGAAGATGCTTTGGTCTGATTTTTCCAAAACTGAACTTTTAAGCAAGTATGCAAAATACTTGTATCGCAAAAAACTACTGCTGAGGATGTCACATAGTGATTTCAGCATTAATCTGTGGAGATGTGGGTAATGTATTAAGATTTTATAGGTAGGTGTAAAAGACTTTCCTAAATCATGGCGGTAGGGGTTAATTTTCCAGCAGGAAAACAAATCTAAACATAGAGCCAGACTAACAGAGGGATAATCCCAGGTCAAACCATGTATGTTAGAATGACTCAGTCAAAGTCCAATTTAGTGATGCTCTTATGTAATCTGACAGCTTCCAATGCAAAGAAGAATGAGCAAAATACTCACATGCTAGATATGCAGAGTTGGTAGAAATATAAGTTGTAAAATATTTCAATAAAACACTGCAGTTCAGATTTATTAACGAAAACACAAGAAAACGATAGTTCCTCTCCAGTTCCCCTTACAATTAAGCCTTGTTTTGGTTCATGATTTAAAATAGATAAATATTGAAACTTTCAGTTTGTAGCGTAACCGAAAATTAGAAACTTCCTGGGGCTTAAGTACTTTTAGACAAGTCTGTCTATTGTGTTTCTGTTTTCTTTAATCCAATGCAGTAACCTAGGTTTCTCTCAGAAGGACCATAGAGGTCTCAGATGAACTGAAAATAATTAGTGTCTCTGTGCTGCTATAAGGTGTCTTTGAAAGCAGCATTTGCATCTTTTGACAGCAGACGAGTTTTTGCAGATGCATGTAGTCTCTTTATGACGTAGTCTTTTGTCCTGTTTGACTTCAGTCTAAAAAAATCCCAGTCAAACTTGCAACATTTGGTTCTGCTATAAAAATTAGACTTTTATTTGCTATTATTTATGAATGTTTAACCAAATGAAAGCTTCTGCCTGTATATTTCCCCCACTATGCCAAGGCATCCCATAGAGTCCATAAATGTGGATCTAGTGTTTTTTGTTGTTGTTGTTTTGTTAGAAAACAGAGCTCTCACTGTGTTAAATGATGACTAATGCATCCAAACTTCGCCCCAACCCTCTTTCTGTGTAACACCCACATTATATAACAGCTGCTCTAACTCTCAGCCAGGTGTCTGCCACACCAGCTGGAAGCTGAGAGCGCCCTGCATGAAATGAAAACAGCTTTTATTTGTTCGACGGTTTTCTCCAAACTGGAAACGTATTCCTGTCATCATCAACGCTGCGGCTTCGTGCCCATCTGGCCTCTGCTGCCAGCTGGAAATATGTGAACCCCATGTGAGTTGAGGTCATTTTAGCCATGCTTCAGGTTCTCTGGATTTGATGAATCACACAGAGGATACTGTTGCTCTTTGTTTGCCCTGCCTGGTGGTTTAACAAACTGGGGTACATTTAAAATGTGACATTAATTAAGTCAATGGCAGGTTTGACATTAGGTCATCTAAACTATTTTTGGATTAACTAAACTACCTGTTAAATGGTATTACCTTCATCAGAGTACAAAGTTTTAGACACATTTACGAAGATGTTGAGCACAATCAGAGTCTGTGTGTCTGTTTAGTTAAAAGGCAGAAAATAAAAACCTGATCTTTAAGAATTAGAAATTGATTTTCCCCCCAGCAGGCGTAGTTACTTGTTAATGTAGGTTAACTGGCATCAAATTTAAAAGTGTGAGTATTACTAATTATAGTTGTTAGGTTTATTCTTTTATAAATCATGTGCATTGTTACTTTGTTAGCCAGATAGAGTAGATGGCCTTCCTTGACATTGTGGATGTCACTTTGTGTAAGTTGGTCATCTAAATAGAACAGCTTTCTTGTCTTTTAAAGATACACAAGATACGGGCACATCTTGGAGCCGGACTGATAGAGGAGAGCTATCTGTAATCTTGGGGCTTGGATGACGTGTCAGTTTCTGGTGCAACACATAGACTCATGAGCTATAAGAAGCAGGAGATGACCTTGTTTGGGGCTCAATCTTTGCTGGACGCTCGCGGACGTGATTTTTGAGACCACAGCTGTGCAAGCTCCAAGCATTTTTCTCTGTCCTGTAACGACCTGATCTGGAATAAACTCTGTTACTTTTTTACTCCTGTTTTTATAGTCCTTTTTATATGGTTTTACCCAGTTTGAGAGTAGAGTAGTAAACAACTTGCTCCCAGGAAAAGAACCGGAAGGGAAGTCCCGAGGCGCAACTGCCTTCAAGGGGACATAACTTCCTCATTTTAACTTAGCTCTGGTTTTCTTTGCCAGCTTTAACTGTTCTCTCTGTCTCTGTGATTTACTTTGACAAGATTACTTTAAAGATTTATTTCTTAAAAATTAAACAAAAAAACAGGAAAAGGATACTAAAGATGTGGATAAAAACCTGAAGTGTACATTTCTGCAGAGGTTTTTGGTGAAATCAATAGTTGTGCAATGTGGGTTCCTGTTCTATACTTCTTTTTTAAAGTCCAGATACCATGCATGTATATACCAGAATTTGGCCTCTTTTTTTAAGATCTCAATATTGAAACTATTTGTGCAAATGTATAATATTCTGTAATTTCTTATTGTCTTATGGAGCTTTGTTTTTACACTCCTGTGTTTGTCGTTGGATTTCCCTGAATTTTTTTTTTTTTAGTTGTGTTTGTTGAATTTCTCTCTACCGTCCCCTCAGCTGTTAAACACCTGTTTTACATCAACTTCCCTTTTATTTAGTTCTCAGTTCAGTTACTAATCACATTAAAATCAAGTCTTTCTCCTTGATGTCATGCTTGTTGATCCTTGTTTTTTCTTGCACCATTTAAAAATGTTTATCTTTTGCTATTATACTTGCTCCTCTGTCATACATGTAAAATTTAATATGTGAGTTTTAGGGGTTTGTTAATATTAAAAAAACTTTGTTCATGCTTTGCTTGGCATCAAAGGCAAATCAATGCATTTGTCTCTGCATTTGTTTTGTGCTTTATAAGAAAAAGTGTGTAAAAAATTGAGCAGAAAGCACATATTTGTGGAACTGCCTCTCTGACTCATTGTTAAGTGTAAAATGTCCATTCACATCTGTCATCAAAATCACTTCCTGTGTTGTGGGTTAAAACCTTTGCTGGATGTTTTTTTCTGAACAGATCTATTTAAACTAGACATTAGAGATTTTTTGAAGGCGGCTCCTAAACTTGGAAGTGATAAGATATCAGTCTTATTTTAATATGCTATATTAGCATGATCTTGTTTTCTGTTTTTGACTGATCTTTAGAATCTCATTTGGTTTTCTTTAGATTCTGATATCAAACCAGCAAAACAGTGTATTAGTTTGAGATGTTTAGACCAAAAACAGTCCTAAAAGGCTGAATATTCCTGTCGCCCAACCTTAAATCTTGCCTAATGATGTTAATGCAAAATACTTTGAGATTTTGTCACTACAACAAGAATGTTTTCATTTTTTGGGTGAGAAATCACCACAATTACTGTTGCAAAGCAAGTAGATTTGTATTATAAGGCATTCACCATATTTGATGTTAGAAATGTAAATAACAGTATTTAATACTGTTTTGGCATCAGTTAATATAGATATATATGTATATTGAAAAACACTTTGAAAAGTGCTTTTGATAATGATTAAATTTTATACATTAATTAAAAGCCAAAAGAAAAATGAAATTCCTACAAGGCATAACTGTGATTGATTTTTTCTTTTTTGATAAAGACTAAATACTTCATGAAAACAACTTTATGAGAAAAAAGATATTCTCCAGCCTTTAATAAATTGGTTTTTGTGCAATTTTTCATCATAAAACTCATAGCAGCCCCCCCTTCCCATTTTCCATAGAGAAAAAAATCTGTTCCATCATAGAAGAGCATCTGCTCTAAGTTAAACACATATTTTCATAATTTAAGATGAGGAATGTCTGCTTTTGTTGCTGCAAT